GTTTTAGAAAGCAGTCCATTATTTTTTTTTCTCTACAAAATGGTGTTTACAGACAATCCTCATGCTTTTAATATGAATTTTTTTTGATTGATCATGGAACAGGTTCTAGAAGGATTTTTAACAAAAATAATGTTAAGATCATCTATAGCTGTGTTAATAACATAGACATATCCAACTCCCATCATAACAACATTATATTTAAACAAATATATTTCCAACAAAGACAATGTAAATTTGTCTAAAAATAAATGCAACTGCCAAAAAAATATGATCTGTCACTTAAATGGTCAATGTATGACTGATAATATTGTATACCGAGCATGCATACATTCTGGTAATGATGTTAAATTTTATCTTGGTTTCACCAAAAATACTTGAAAATCTTGTTTTTACCATCATTGAATGACACTAGGTAATATAAAATACAAAATAAAACTGCATTGCTCTCTCCAAATATGTCTGGCTATTAAAGAATGATGACATCTCACCATCAATCAACTGGGAAATTATATCTAGAGCTAAATCTTATAATAGAAAAGGAAGTAAACATAACCAATTTTTCAACAAGACATAAGATATCTTAAAACACTTAAATAACTTTAGCTTATTAAACAAGATAAATGAATTGATGGCTACATGTGGACATAAAAATATATATCTATTTAAATACATTGATCGAGATTAATTTTAATTTTTAATGCAAATTACTATTTATTTTGAATGGAGCTATTTTTAAAATAAAAACAAGTAATCTCCCTTTAATTAAAACACTTTAAAAAATTAATATTCACTAATCAAAAATAAAATTTTAAAATTTTATTTTATTTTTTTTCATACATATATAAATACTGCTTATTTTAATTGCTAAATGTAATTTTAAAAATTAAAAACTGTAATCCTAGCATAATATATAACTATACCAACATTGTGATTACTAGATATATTGAAATTCAAATTGCATAATGGTCAGTCCATACTCAGCACCTGAAGACTGCGTTATGCATGAAAATCTGAGTTGTGGTGAGGGATAATATGTATAGTTATTAATATATACTTAATAGCTCTGTTATATTACATTGAGCACTGTTTTATTAACACCAGCACTATATGTGCAACATTATACATACATATATAGGGAGGGTGCTAAAAAGTTTGTACAAAAAAGAGATTTATCACAAAACTTTGGTTATTTGATCAGATTATGAAAGTGAGTTAAATGGAGAACTTTTCAGTATTCCTTCATGAAAACCAGTCTCTGTTATTACATAAAACACTGCTTTTAGCTTTCCTTATTATATGTGATAAAAGCTTATTTAAATTTATAAGCTCTTCATAAGACAGCCAGCTGAATTATGGATGACCAAAAATGATAAAACTTGATATTACCCAAAATGGTAACAGTATATTCCCAACATTAAAACACAATCATATGATAGGCAACACTCTAGTAATGAATTAAGCTATTATAACTTAATTTTATGCTAATTAAACATTGTTTTAATTTTGTACAAAAAGTAATATAAATTGAAATATAGAGGATCATTATTAAATTCAATTTTATTCATTAAAATCAAATTTGATATCAATTCAGCAAACTTCAAAGTTTCTGATGATGATAGTATATTTATGAAACTACTTTATTCTTGAGAATGTTAAAATAACATCTAATTTTGAATTTCTTTTTATTATTTAATTATTAGGGCACATTCAATGATCATTTACTGTTATTGTTTGTCTATCCTGAGGTAGATTACGAACATATACTAATTTGGTCATGGTGATTATTTTTGCAAATATATTAGTTTTGAGCTTGACAGAGAATTTAAAAATAATGATATTTTGATTGAGGGAGATTCAAATTTATTTCTTGCAGAAATTCTCAAGTTTTAATAATAACAATTTCTAGAGATGTGGCAGAATTATAATGCTGAAAAATCTTAACAAGGAAATATATGTTTACCATAAGTAAGAGATTTTATTCTTGAAATGATTTTAGATTATATATGATATGAAATCTGAAGAGAAAACTGGAAAAATAAACCTGATCTTATATATATATATATATATATATATATATATATATATATATATTATAATTTTTAGATAGAGACAAAAAAATTATAATAAATAATTATTGCTCTACACTTTGTATCGAGGCTTCTTTTGAATTAATGCTGTCAATGTTAGAATTTATATTATTTTTGTTCTCATTACATTCGCATATATATATATATATATATAAAGTGGATACTGAGGCTAACATGAAGCATTAACAGTCTGTTTCATGCTTCAATGCATCTTCAGTTACTAATATATATATATATATAGTAAATATAGTAACTGAAAGAGGCACGGTGGAGTAGTGGATAGCAGCTTGGATTAAGGATTCGGAGGGCCAAGTTCGAATTCCAGTCGAATCCATTACATTCACTTACATGCTAATACCCTTGGGAAAGGTATTAACCCTCTTCTGTCTACAGCTATGGGTAAATAGCAGAACAGACTGGGTTCTATAGCCTTGGATGGCAACTAGTCTAGGAGAAGGACAACTCTGAATTCAAGATCTGCAGAGGGTTGTTTGGGGACCTTGTAGCACGTAGTGCACCAGATCTCTGTATTCGGTCCTTTAAAAAGTGTGGTCAGTTCTGCACAAAGCCTTAACTACTATAATCAAATCATATGTGCTGGTGTCTGGCTGTCAGTTACATATGTCAAAAACGACGAGAGAGCCCACTTTATATATATATATATATATAAAGCAATTTTTAAAGAATCAATGAATTTATTTTTATTTTGACATTGTTTAATAAATAAAAATAGGGCATCTATTTCAAATATATAGCATCCACTAGAATGTTGTTTGAAGTAATAATATATATATATATATATATATGAAGAAATATAGTTTTAAGGTGTGCTATATTTATGAGATAAAGTGCTCAATATCAGAGATAAAACTTATGTAAATATAAAATAATAAAAATTAATCCAAATAAATGAACAAATTAACAAATGCTCCTGCTAAAATAACTGTTAGAACTAATAGAAATAACCATAAATAGAAATAACCATAAATAGAAATAACCATAAATAGAAATAACCATAAATAAGCAAAAACAAGTAAAAATAATCAATCCAAATAAATAAATTAAAACTGTCAACCCACTAAAATAACAGAATCAACTATGGCAAGCAATCTAAACATTGGATGAATAAATAGCTTTATCTTCCCAGACTAAAAAAAAGTATTAATTAAGTGACCTAAGCAAATTCCCTGCCACAAAGTTTTTTACTACGTTAATAAATCATCAAAAAATGATAATAATAAAAAATGAAAAACAAGTAAAATAAATTAACCCAAACAAGCAACTAAATAAACAAACAAGCCATTCCCGCAAAAATAACTGCCAGAATAGATTACCCACAAGGCATCACTGACCCATATATATAAATAGCCGAGAAAAATCCAGCATTCGTGTGTGATGATTGTGTCCAGCATGAAACAGCCTGTCGACTCTGGGTGTTGACTTCAATGTTCACTCATATATATATGTGTATTTAGGCAGCAAATTCTCTTTTAGGCATGTCTGATTGAATAAATTACAAACATTACTTCATATTACTAGGATCCACTTGGATTATATACCAATTACTTTTATTTCCCAAGAAGAAAAATATCAGTAAGGGGTAGCGACACATAATTTTTGCCTTACCAGTTGCATTCCTGATGATGATCTCAGAAAGAAATGGAAATTACTTAGGGAAATAAAAGTTACAGTGCATTTCTTGCTTTATTCAATTGTAATATACAGAAAAATATTCATAAATATGAAATGATTATGATAAAAAATAAGCAGAAATAATGTTTGTAATGTATATGTATAAAGTAAAGGTAAAAAATCCCTTAGTATATAATACAAGTGGATCCTTGTAATATGAGGTAATTTTGGATTTATTTCTTTATTAAATATATATATATATATAGAGAGAGAGAGAGAGAAATTCTATCTATTGTTTCAATTTATACATAAAAGTGACTTAGGTTTGAACCTTAAATGATAATAGTCGCAATCCAGTTGGATAATAACTGTACCAAAGTAATAATTTAATGTTTCTACTGACAAATTTTCTGTAAATGTTACAAGCAATATAGATTGGAAATTTATTTTAGCTTCTAAACTCTTAAAAAATGTACTGTTTTTGTATTGACACCATATAATTGAAGCTGGTGCAATTGGTATGCATACTGTTTTTGTATTGACACCATATGATTGGAGATGGTGCAATTGATATGCATAGAGAGTTGATATTTTACTCTTTTTCTTTTGTGTGTGTGTGTCTTATTCATTAGATTTGTGTCTATTGATTTCTTTCCTCTCAGTCATTACCAAGAGGAAAGTCAATAAACATTTGCAAAAGGGACAAAGAAATGAAAGACTCATAATATTGTGTGGGTGATGGTTAAGCAGTTGGGGTATTAAGTCTGATGTGATGAGGAAGAACAAAGAATGTCTGAAGGGCTGGAATGTGGTCAGTTCATTAAATCTGGAGCATGAACTCTACAGGTCAGTCTCTTGCATTAGGTGTTTGCAAATATTAACTATAATTTAATGAAGACAAAAATTCAAATATCTAAAAATTAAAGAAAATATATTAAAAAAAGTATGATATTAACTAGTATCTATAAATTGACAGGTTTCCATTTTGTTCTGAAAGAAAAGAATTCTTTCAGAACAAAATGGAAACCTAGCGTTTAATGATCTTTATTTAAAATAGGTTGTAAGTAAGTCTATGGATTTTCTGTGTCGGATTATAGTGAGGATTTTATTTGTTTTACTCAGTCTGAGATAGAGAGAATTATGACCTGAAAGGTCTCAGGACTCATGTGAAATGTCCACTATAATCTTGTAGTACATTCTTGTTCATCTTTTAGTTGGTATAAAAGTTTCCATATGACTTTTGTTTACAACTTATGAAAATAAATATTCCTTATCTTCAGCTTATGGCCATATCACACTGAAACATCAGTTCTCATATGATCCCCAAAGTTAAGCAACATTGAGCCTGGTCAGTACCTAGATGAAATGACCACTTGAAAATACCAGGTGCTGTAAGCTTGAATTTGAAGATGGGGTAATGGATAACAGCTCGGAATTGGAAAGCCAAATTCCAATTTCACTCAAGTTCATTATATTCACTTATGTGAAAATACTCTTAGGAAAAGTATGAATCCACCTCTTCTCCTCCCAGATATGGATTAATTAGTTGGACTTGTAAATCATACTCCAAAACCTCCAGCAGATGACTGAAACCTCAGAGTGTACTCAATCATATATATATATATATATATATATTTATTTATTTATTTATTTTATTACTTACATATTATTTTAATGAATACCCATATTTGAGTAGATGGTCTGTTCATTCATTAAACAGTATATTCATTTATTTTTTTATGTACTGGCCTGAATATTTAGAAAATTTTATTAAAGAAAAATATGAACTTTCTGGCAGGACTTGAACCTGCACCCCCCTTGGCAGGAGAAACTGTCATTAGATCCAAGGTGCTTCTCCTGCCAAAGGGAAAGCAGGTTTGAATCCTGCTGGAGAGTGTATATTTTTTTAAATAAGATTTCTCAAATATTAAGACTGCTAGATAAAAATAAATATATGTTTTATAAATAAACAGAGTATGTATTAAAATATAGGTATTCAATAAAAATAACATTTAAGTAATAAAATTTGTCAGATTAATAAATAAAATATATAAAACATTTTTCATATATTTTCTATATGTATATATCTAAGATAAATGAGGCAAAGAGATTAACAGCAGAAACTAATTTGGATTGAGCCTGTGGACTCTTCTAATTTTCTAACCTTCTCCAACCTTAAAAAAAGCATAATCCATATTATACGCCTATGCGCAGATAACGCTCAACCAATAAAAATGCAAAGAATCGAATCAAGCAATTCTATTGGTAGATCGCCTCCCAAAGCAAGAATTGCGCCAAAATATCTTGAGCCACTTTCGAAAACCCAAAAGGTTATAAAAGGAGAAAAGACAACCCCAGTCAGTCAGTCTAGCGAACTCGCCGATCGATTGCCTAATTAATCCACGACATTCAAAAAAACAGAATTTTACCCGCATTTTTGATTTAACTTCAACTGACTCACCTGAAACACTCAACTAACAACTATCGAAACTTTGAACAATATTTCTTATGCACATTGATTTATTCATTACTAAAAATAAGAAATACTAATCAAAAAAAACAAACACAGACACGTTCAAAGGTAGACTACTTTAGCAAACTTTACCAAAAAAAACTCTTATTATATATTTCAACACAAACACAAAATAACAAACATAACGACACAGAGACATCCAACATTTCAGCAACATATACAATTAACGCACGCAACAATACAAATATTAACCTTGTTTGTAAATATGTAATGGTATATAAATGTTTTATTTGTTTCGATCTATAAATGTCTCGTTTTTACTTTGTTTGAAATCTCATGTTTGTTATATATTTGTTTGGGACAAGGTTTAGACACACAACCGATCCGAACAAAATCCTTCTGATTAATTAAATGAACCAAAAGTCCCAACAAAATTTGGTGACCTTCCGACGTGAGTGAACATGCAACAAGAGTGACGAACTTGTTGACGTACTTCAGACCAACAAAATTGGTAACCTCGACGTTTCAAGCAAACAACACCAACAAAATTGATAAACAGACGCGTAATAAAGATTGGTAACCCCGGTAACGGATAAAGTATTTCAACACTACAGATGGCAGAACCAACAACCGTATCAGAAACAGCCATCAAACTCGAGATGCCCGCCTTCAATGCAAATGTGCAAACGTGGTTCCTTCAGCTTGATGCGATATTCCAAGCTAGGCGATAACTTCTCAGCAGTCAAAATTTGCAGCAGTCGTGGAGAAGCTACCGGCAGAAATAGCAGCCGAAGTAGCTGATATACTAACTTCAGTCCCAGTTGAAAAACCATACGAAATCCTAAAGAAGCGATATTGCATAGATCAGGTTTTTCGGAGGAGAAAAGAATACGTGAACTCCTGTCCAATGTCACAACCGAAGATGCCAAACCTTCACAGTTACTTCGAAGGATGCAGCAGTTATTAGGCGAAAATGTCATATCGACCACAGTATTCAAACAAATGTGGCTGATCAAGCTACCGCCAGAGGTTGTACAATTCTAGCCGCATTAGCAGAAGATGTAGACATCCAGAAACTAGCGATAATTGCAGACAAAATAACAGACACAGCGCCAATTAAACACATATCCGCAACGAACACACGAGATGGCCTCATGCCAGACATAGACTGGCAAATTCGAAAGTTATCAACAGAGTTGCAAGATATATCTATACAGCTGCGCGAACTACAAAATGCTCATCTAAGCCGACATGATAATCAATATACCAAGCTTTAAATAAACAACGCTGGAGATCAAATTTCGACACAGATACAAACGACAACTAAACGAATACCAAAATGAAAAATGTTGGTATCATGAAACTTTTGGCGCGCAAGCTAACAAGTGCAGACAACCATGTGCGTATAAGAAATCACCAACCGCCAAACAGCAGGAAACGGACATCCTGGCACCCAGTAGAGACGTTGGATGCCAGGCAACTCAAGACTAACCGTCTCTTCTATATTTATTTATAAATCCAGCGGATTAAACTTTTTGTAGACACCGTGCCCAAATCAGTGTTATACCACAGACGAAGTGCAGCAAACAACTTCTAATAAAAAACACAACATTAAAACTACAAGCCGCGAATGGCACGCCTATTGCTACTTATGGTGAAAAGACCTGACTTTAGACATAGGTCTAAGGAGAGATCTAACGTGGACATTCATAATTGCTGATGTTTCGATGCCCATACTAGGAGCGGACTTCCTAACACATTATGCATTGTCAGTAGAACTAGCATCCCAAACACTAACTGACACCAATACAAATATAAAACGCTGCGGTTTCATCTCTAAACATTCAACGATTGGACTGACGAATATTATACCAATAGCTAATGGCTACGGTGAGATAATACGTCAGTATCAGACACTGTTAACACCGTCGTCACTTAAATGAACCCGTTAGACATCATGCTAAACACAGCATTAAAACAACTGGTTCCCCAGTTTATTCCCAACCACGTAGGCTTCATCCCGCCAAATTGAAAATCGCAAGAGATGAGTTCGACAATATGCTCAGACTGGGAATAATACGCCCTTCAAAAAGCCCTTATGCCAGCCCCTCTACACATGGTTACAAAAGCAGATTCAGTCAGTTGGCGTCCATGCGGAGATTATAGGTTGTTGAACGCCCAGACCATTCCGGACAAATATCCTATCCCGCATATAAAAGATTTTTGCGCTATCATTAGAAGGTGCTACAGTCTTCACTAAACTAGACCTCAAAAGGCTTACTATCAGATACCAATCGAGGAAGACGACATACAAAAGATGCGATCACCACTCCATTCGGACTATTTGAATTCACAAGAATGCCCTTTGGTTTCTTTAAACGCCGCACAGTCATTCCAAAGATTAATAGACGAGGTGTTACGTGGTATGCCATACACATACGCGTATATTGACGATGTTTTAATTGCAAGTAAATCACATGTTGAACACAAGGAACATTTGCATGCAGTTCTAAAACGTTTACAACATTATGGTTTAAAATTAAACATTGACAAATGTATATTTGCGGTACCACAGCTAACCTTTCTTGGACATGTAATAGACCAACAAGGATTGTCTCCCTTGGATCACAAGATCAAAGCAATAACAAATTATCCCACACCTTCCACAATGAAGCAATTACGGAGATTCTTAGGAATGATAAACTACTACCGACAATTCATACCGAACTGTGCAACTATAATATTGCTATTAACAGACATGCTATCGCAACGAAAGAAAAAGAACTCGCAAATCGTACTATCGAAAGACGAATTAAAATCTTTTAATGATGCAAAAGACGCTTGTAAAAAAATGTACAAAATTGTCGTGATATTAATCCATCCGAAAATTCCAAACTAACACTCACGACAGATGCATCGGCTGACACAATTGGAGCAGTACTACACCAGATTACTAACAATGTAGAGAAACCACTATCATTTTTCTCGATAAAGTTAAACACTACCCAGAGGAAATATAGTACGTTCTCAAGAGAATTATTGGCAGTATACCTAGCAATACGACATTTTAGACACATTCTAGAAGGAAGAAATTTCGTAGTCTTCACCGACCATAAACCACTTACATATGCATTACATGCAAAGGCTGACAAATTAAATCCACGAGACCTAAGACATTTAGATTACATCAGCCAGTACACAGCAGATATCCGACACGTAAAAGGTCAGAATAACACAGTAGCGGACGATTGTCCAGAACTACGCCAACGCACTACAATCACAACCACTAAACTTTGACACTCTCGCTGAGGAACAAGCAAACGACAACGAATTACCGTCTGTACAAAAGATACCTCACTTCAAATTGAAAAAGACCTTTACCCTTTACTAATGAACTCGTGTATTGTGACGTTTCCACAGGTAATCCTCGACCGTATTTTACCTTTGTCACGAAGAAAATCAATTTTCGATCATTTCCATTCGCCAGCTCACCCTGGAGCGAAGGCTACGCTGCGGACCATAGCTGACAGATACGCCTGGCCCGGTATGTCTTCGGACGTGAAACAGTGGTCTCAAGACGCGCCAACGTTGCCAGGCAACGAAAAAAATACACCGACATACCAAAGCACCATCGTCGACCTTTCGCGACACCAGATGGACGATTTACGCACATACACGCAGACTTAGTCGGTCCACTCGAAAAAAATTAATGGACACGAGTACATTCTAACGATCATTGACCGCTTTACGCCGATGGCCAGTTGCGATACCACTCAACAACATCAATAACGGCAGAAACAGTGGCTAACGAATTTTCAACAACTGGATTTCTATATTTGGATGCCCTGCAGTTATCACAACTGACAGAGGTCCCCAATTTCAATCAACGCTATTCAACGAATTTGTCAACATTTTAGGCATAA